TTGATTTGTAATGAAGCAGGAGAGTGTGTTTCATTCACGGTGGTGTTTGGTAAACGAGGATAAATGTATACCCGTAGGTTTTTTTTCTTTGGTGGCTGCACTTGAATAGCTTCTCTCCCGTGTGGATTCGGAGATGTGTCTTTAGATTGGTAGATACTGAGAATTTCTCCAGGCACAAGGTGCACTCGAATGGCTTCTCTCCTGTGTGGGTGCGGAGGTGTATCGTCAGAGCGCCAGATACTGAGCATTTCTTCAGGCAGACGCTGCACTCGAATAGCTTCTCTCCTGTGTGGATTCGCAGGTGTGTTTAGATTGGTAGATACTGAGAATTTCTCCAGGCACAAGGTGCACTCGAATAGCTTCTCTCCTGTGTGGGTTCGGAGGTGTGTCTTTAGATTGGTAGATACTGAGAACTTATCCAGGGACACGCTGCACGCGAAGGGCTTTTCTTCTGTTCGGGTTCAGAGGTGTTTTCTCGGATGGCGAAATTCTGAGAATTTCTTCAGGCACACGCTGCACTCGAATGGCTTCTCTCCTGTGTAGGGTCGAAAGCGAGGTTTCGTCAGATGGCCGAATTCTGAGAATTTCTTCATGCACATGCTGCACTCGAATGGCTTCTCTCCTGTGTGGGATCGAAAGGAGGTTTCGTCAGATGGCCAGATTCTGAAAATTTCTTCAGACACACGCTGCACTCGAATGGCTTCTCTCCTGTGTGGTTTTGGAGGTGTGTCTTTAGATTGGTAGATACTAAGAATTTTGCCAGCCACACGCTGCACTCGAATGGCTTCTCTCCTGTGTGGGTTCGGAGGTGTATCGTCATAGCACCTGATACTACGAATTTCTTTTGGCACACACTGCACTCGAATGGCTTCTCTCCTGTGTGGAAGCGCATATGTCGCTGTAACCGGCGTGAGGTATCGAACTCCTTCCCACACACCTGACATTTCACGGGCATAGCGCTTGAGGCTCAGGTGGATCCGTGTTGGTACTTGCTTTTCATCTGATGACTGAAATAAATGAAAACCGTCGTTACGTTCTAATGCAACAAGAAGTTATAGTAGACATCGGTGACGAATAGAAAGACACACGGTACAGGAATAGCAAAGGTTGCCGGCTGGAAAACTAAAACAGTGACAAAAATTTAATTAAGCCGAACTAATCAGCTTGACAATTTAGCCACAACTTTTGTCACCCCAGGCAATTGTCAGCATGAATCTATCAAAAGAAGTTCCGTCAAGGCACGGATCGTGGAAGCAGATGATACGTGTGTAATGATCAAGCCTTGCTTTATACTAGCTATATGTACGCCAGACCACGTCTCGCGTAACAGGCTTCGCGATATCTCACGAAACACTGTTACGCTGCGACGCGCCTGGCGCACATATAGCTAGGCCTGCGGCGCTGACACCCGAGACAGGGTAATAGTGTATATACAAGTTTTCGAAATGAAGTCTTTTTCTTAACGATTTAATCGACCATTTGATCATTTTCTCCTCATTTTTGTCAAGAAATGCCCAATAGCGCCGAAACGGTACAAGATAGAGCCAAACGGACGAAATTTTCGCCCAAAGGGCTCTACTTTGC